AGCTGTGCAGGCCACTCTGGAGACAGCTCTGATGGCTTCTGCAACTTCTCAGCAGTGTTGCAGAGGCAGGAGGTTGTACTCCAGAAACCATGGGAGCTGCACCAGCCAGCCTTAAATTAGCACAACATCCTCAGTCTTTGTGGACACGACAGAGGGATCTAGGGGCCTCTGTGCAAGGACTTGCAAGGCAGAGAGTAGAGCCTGAAGGGCTCAGCTCTGCAAGCTGCTGCATCCCCCTGTTTTCTGCAGCATGATGCTTCCTTTCTAAAGGACAGACACAGCTTGACAGGCAGCTCTCAGATCATTGCTGAGCCATCCTTTCTCTCTCAACATTCAGCTCCTTCTACTTACCTAGGGCTTTGCTGAAGCTAAGGAGTTTTTGTTGTGTATGATACAGGGGGTATAAACATTGATGAGCAATTCCGCACCACACAATAGGTGTGTCACAAAAAGCCATCCTTGTCTGCTTTGTATTATCTTGACTGGAATGAAGCATCCACAGGTAGTGAAATGTCCATCCTTTACTTCCTCCACGTAACCCTTAGCACTTCAAGAAAAGACCTGACTGAATAAACAACCCTGTAGCAGCATATGGTGTCAGAATGGAGAAGGCAAAAAATGTTGACATTTGCAAATCAAATGTACTGATGTGTCTGGAGTCATGGTGCTTGCTGCCTCCATCTGTGCCTTGCACTGCCATAGCATGCTTTTCTGTGCAGGGATTGTTGCTGGATGCTGTGTTTTCTGTTGTATGTGTAGCATTGAGCAGTATTCAGTACACTGTGGGCTTGTGCTATTACGAATTATTAATAAGAAGAATTAACTAATTTGGCAAAACGTGCTCAGGTACAAACTGCCTGACCACATCTGGAAACTTCCCCTTGCAAAGGGGTGTGAGGGCTTTATAAAGTGCTGATCAAAGCCAGCAGAATCTGAAACTACTCTCCTTGCTGGATTTTATGCCTCATTGTCCATCCCAGTCTACCAGGCCCTGAACAGGAAGAAGGATTCTTCTACAGTCTTCCAGAATCAGGGAGGGAGAGTCAAGGGATCATATGGCCTTGGAGGATGCTCTAGTGTTGGGAACTGAATAATTCCTGTTCTGGCAGTGTCATTGCCAACCACTCTACATCCCAAAGACAGGAGGAATCCAGAAATCCAAGAGTGAGAAGAAGGTTATCTAGGGCACAAGAAATCTTGTATATCCCTAGGGAAGCTGTCAGAATGGCTCCTGGCAGGATCCGGCTGTGTGCCACCTGTGATATTGGACCTCAGAGCCCTGTGCTGGGACCAGGCTGTGGGTGCAAACAGAGTGGGTACCCACCTTCTGCAGTGTCTGTGACAGGCAATGAACCAGAGCCCACTAGAGGACCCTGTGCTGCCGCTGAAACCAAAGGGCTGGGCAGAGTTGCATGTTGCAGCCAGAGCTCCAGAGAGACAGCTGGGAAATGGCCATCTGTCAGCTCTCTTGACATTTTGCTGTCAAATGTCAGTGTGCCTGTGCAGGCCTTGTCCTCCCGCAGCAGCTTCTGCACCCGTGTGAAGTGTGTGTTGCTCAGCAGGGATGGGTGGTGGTGCTCAGAGCCAGCTCCAAGCAGCCATTTTCCAGGAACATCAGAGACCTGGTGCATCAGCAGTGAAGTGTGCCATCATCACAGCCTGTATTCTCAAAATTAGGCTTTTCAAGTGGATGCGTTGTGGCAACACTAAAAATACAGCAAAGCCTTATGGAGAGATGTGATCTAAGCATTACCATCAGCTACTGAGGCCATAACAAGAGCAAATAGGCAGTGGGGGACCAGCTTTTTTCCCATAGTGATGAGGAGGGAGACAGGATAAATAAACAGGAGCTCCTGGTACTGTATGTACCATCCACAGTGCTCAAGGTCCAAAATGGAACATGAACACTGCCCCAGCTGTTGAACACGGCTTTCAGCATGTGTGCTAGGCACAGAGTCAGGAGCTGCTGGTACCCATGGTGGTTCTTGAGCAATGTATGTCTTGGGAATCCACTCCAGAAACCAAGCTGAGAACAGACTCATTACTTTCAGTGGCTGTAGGAAAGGAACCAGAGGCTTCCCACACAGAGAAGTATCTGAAAGGGGAATGAAGGGTAATACAGGCATTGGGGAGACCATAGTCCGGGTGGATTTGGCCTGGGTGGAGTCCACCTAAAGGCTTGTGGGTTTGCTAACACTTGCATTAGCATTAACTTTTACACCATTGTGTGTCTACTGTAAACTCTCAGTCCATTTCCATCGTTGTATTTTTTTCCTGCCAGCATCATCCTGTGTCTGTGAGAAGCACTTGTCACAGTTTGACTCAGGATAGGCAATCAAACCAGCGACAACAATGCTCTTGATCCCCTCCCCCTCCCCACCCAGGTGGGGAAAGGAGAGAGATAACAAGGAGAGAGACTTTCTGGATTGAAAACTAAACGAGACAGCTGTAATTAAATGCTAATGATAGAATAAAATATGTGCAAATGCATACAAGTGTGTGCAGGAATGTGCAAAACAGCTTTAATTAAACAATAATGACAAAATAAAATATGTACAATTATATACGAAGATGTTTGGGAATGTGCAAAACCCTTTTGCCTCCCCCCACCCCCAGCAACTCCCAGAGCATCTCCTGAGCTGTGGACAGTCCCAAAATGTCCGGGAGCTGCCAGAGAGAGTGGCAGAGCAGACAGGAGCTGAGGGGAGTGGTATGAGGGGCAGGAACACAAGGGCCTGGGGATCAAAGGAGGTAGATAGATGGAGTCTTCCCCAGATGCTGGACATGAATGGAACAGAAGGGAAGAAGAAGGGTCTTGACTCCCGTGATTCCTGACATTATATCAAGAGCCATGTAGATATTATGGGATAGAATACTCTCTTTGCCCAGGTTTGCCATCTGTCTTGTCTGCTCCTCACTATGGGAGGGTTGTAGATAGGACTCTTCTGCTCCTTTAATATCTAAAGCAGAGAAAAGTGTCCTTGGCATCTCAGTGGTAACATGAACATTCCAGTGTTGTCAGTCCACTGTCTGGAACACTTGCAGCTAGTTAAAAGAGAGCTCACTGAAAGAAAAAAAAAAAAAACAAAAAAACTCCAAACAAACAAAAAACCAAAACAAACAAAACAAAAAAAATAAAACGAAAAAACAATCAGTAAAAAGAAAATAAGCTTCATCCTGCTCAAACCAGGACAGCACTACTATGCATGAGAGGAAGGTACTTATTTTTGATAATTTCTTTTTAGCATCTTTTGATTGTTATTCTTATGCCATGAAATGGAAAGAACTGAAGTTTCTGATCTTTCTATAGAGCTCGAGAGTGTCGTTTCTTAACACTGTTTCTCTTAACTTCACTTATGTCATATTTCTCAGTTTCCCTACTAGGCTCCCATTGCAGCTTCACTCCAAATCCATTATCATCCCATATTCACAAATGCTGTGGTAAGATTGGCAAATACAGATACTGTAAATTCCTTTTATTGGAGTCTGGAGGTCAGTGGTGGCAGCAGATGGCAGGGCACTAGAGTCCAGTGCAGGATATCAGTATGGGGTGTCAGGGTGCTGTGAGCACTGAAGATGCCTGGATGAAATACAGTGTGTGGATTGGTGACCAAGGGTGTTTGGGCCATGGTTTTCAGACCAGGTGGTGGATCTATGAGAGCAGTAGATAATTTTTTAATTTCTCAGGATCATTCTGGATCACTATTTTCTTTTGTGGTTTCTCCATCTCCTTCCTGCCTTAGCTGCCCTCCCACTTCTCTGCATTGGCTTCTCTGATACATAGAAGAGAAGGAAAGAGGGAACCCCCCTCCAGACTGTCCTGAAGGTGCTTCCAGGTTGGACCGCTGGCTTACCTGGGAGAGGAATAAATATATGCTCTGCTCTTCCATATCAAATGCTTTAGAATGTCTTCCTCTGGCTTTATGGGAACGTGCTGTTTACTGAACACTGAAGGAGTGGGGCTCAGTGCCCTGCCTGTGCAGCTCCTGGGACTGTGGCAGTTGTACAGGTGTGAAGTGCAGCAGATAGCAACATAAGTGCCACAGATAATGTGTCAGAGTGTCAGGCATCTGTGAACCAGGCAACCCCAACCACAAGAGGAACCAGTTTGAGCTGAGGCTGGACCATCAGCAAAAGTTCAGCAGAAGGCAGCGTGCTCTGTGGGACCTATTTAACCATCAGCAGTGGTTCCCTGTGGCCCCACTGAAGTAATCCACTTCTTTTTGCATGAGAGGCCCTTGTTGTGCAGAAGTAGTTGCATACTTTGGCATGTTCCCCTGGCACCATTAAAAGAAGTCAGGACCTCATGGGTGTTCCTGGATTTTGGAGTGGAATGGTTGTTGCTGCTTTCCTGTTCCAGTGTTTTCCTGCTTTCCAGTCTCAGCCAGGATTTGTATCTCTCTAATGTTGCAAGGTTGGGCAGTGCTGCTTAGTGTTTGGTTCCTAAAAGAAGTTTGAGGTATGTAAAGGCAAGGAAAGATATTGAATCTAGTGTGAGAAGATGGATTGCTCTCGTCAAGAGTGAAGCACTTAATTTCAGGCCTTGTGCTGACTGTGTGTTTTTCTGTGGGTCTACAGTGCCATCCATGGTGAGGTTTTGATTTGGCCCAAAGCCTGTGCAGCTCTTTGGCTACTGGAATGAAGTCAGCTCACTTCAGATAAGATTGAGAGGGGTCAGTTGAAAGCACAGCTCCCTCTGCAGGGAGGGGGATGTTTTTGTCTTACATTCTTTCTTGAGGAAGGACAACTCAGGACCTGGTGCTAGGATACTCATGCTGACAAAGGCCAGTCAGTTTGGTCCTTGCTGGCATGAAGTCTTCAATCAAACCAAAAATGCTTTAAATACTACCTTTCCTGAGAGGTGACTTCCTTTGTGTTTTTGTCTCTCTCTAGGTATCTGAATTCCCTCATGAAAATTGTCCTCCCTTCCTCTCATGTGCAGCCTTATCTGTCCATGGGTAGCACCAGCTTAACTGATGTCCTGAAGAGCATTCCTCACTATGGATAGTCCACCCAAACTGACTGGTGAGACGTTGATTGTCCATCACATTCCCCTGGTGCATTGCCAGGTCCCTGATAGACAGTGCTGCTCCGTGAGCAACAGGACCAACCCCTTCTGCCAGCCAGAGCTCAGCATTACACGGAACGCTGCCCTTCCAGACAGAGACCTTTCACAGACTGACTCCTTGGTGTACAGCAGCTTTCTCCAGACCCCCGAAACCTCAGCAGAGGCCTCAGACAACAAAGAAGGCAAAGCAAAGGATTTGATTGCCCCTAGTGTCAGTAAGAGACACATGAGTGAAGGTGAAGACCTCAGTGTCTTTGGGGATGACTTGGGTGAAAAATCTTTTCACCTTCACAACTCACTTGTGGCTGGCAAACCTGCCTTTCATCTGCATGAGCTGTCCTTGCCCCCTTTCCACCTTCACGATTCCAACGACATTGTGAAATCCTGGAACATGGCCAGCCGGTCCGGGGTGGTGGATGGGCAAGAGGACAAAATCAGCAGTGATGACGTCCAGAAGAAGAACAACGCAAACAGGTGCCACCAGGCTTCGGAACGCATGGAGCTGGATGAATGCAGCTGCCATCGTGGCAGCTCCTCCAACTTCTCCTGCGATGGTGGCGACCAGGAGTGGAACCAGAACACAGGTGAACCTCTGAGGAATCAGGATGCCCTGCACAGCCGAACATGCAGCTGCTCCAGCTCTGAACTCCAGCGCTGTCGGTGCTACAGCTCATCAAGTCAGTCTGAAGTGATTGACCAACAGATGGGCTACATCAGTGACTCTTCCTGCAACAGCTCTGATGGGGTGCTGGTGAACTTCAGTGCTCTCTACAACAAAATGAATGGCCATTCTCTATCTAACCTGAATTCTGCCAACCTGTCCTGTGACTCTTCCTTCTGCAGCCACTCAGACACAGGAGCTTTTTATCTGGATTTGCATTCATCACCCACAGAATCCAAGATGTCTTGCGAGTCGCATCACCCAGAGAGTTCAGGGAAGGTGTGTGGGTGTCAACACTCCTCCTCACCTGTCCTTGATGCTAACTGCAACTCTTACCACCTCCACTGTGAGCCTTGCACTTCAGAGAGCTCAGACCTCACTGCCTGCTTCCAAAGCCAAGCACGGCTTGTTGTGGCTACTCAGAATTATTATAAGTTAGTCACATGTGACTTGTCTTCCCAATCATCCCCCAGCCCGGCAGGATCTTCCATAACTAGCTGCTCGGAAGACCATACCAAAGGTAGCCCTGCCCAGGCCACCGAATACTATCTGTTCAGAAGGCCTGACCTGGGACAAGAGGAAGACAATGTGGAGTGCAGTGAAGAGGAGACAAAGGCAGAAGCCACCAAGAAGATGATTGAGGGTCAGGTTTATCTGAATGTTTCACCACCGAACCTCAACACAAGCCGGCAGCGCTCCAGGAGCTATGACCAGAACCTGGACAGGAGCCCTGGCAGCAGGCTGGGCTCCTTGGAGCGCATGGTGAGCTGCCCAGTCAAGCTGAGTGAAAGCCCAGCAATACCCATCCAAAGCTCCCCCCCGAAACGAGTAACATCCTTTGCTGAACTGGCTAAAGGCCGGAAAAAGAACAGCACCTCCCCACCACTCCGGTCCAATGGTGATTCCTCCTTGGAGTTCTCCCCTATCCCTGAGGCACAGCGGGATTGCCCAGCCTTCCTTGAAGAAAGAGCTCGCCGCAGCCAGAGTCTTCCACCCATGCCCTTCATCCACGGCCTGAACCGGAGCTGCGAGGGCTTCTGCTTGAATCACGCTTTTGAGGACAGCCAGGCTTTGTGTTCCACCAAAGACTCACTCTCCAGTGAGAAGGTTCCCAGTGGGCATGGGGCAGGTGAGCAAGCCTCTCTCTCCCTGCTGACGGCGGCAGATGCCAGCTTTTCAGGTGGCTTTGCCAGTGGCCATGGACAAAGAGATGTTAGAGCCCAAGCAGACGGTAAGGAGCCAAACTAGGCAGAATGGACAAGTAAAAAGAGTGGCCGCTCTTTGGGACATGAGGGGAGCAGCAGAGAAAGCTGCATAGCAGTGGGTGCAGCTCGCTTCCTGGTCCACCACTCCCAGGAAAAAAAACCAATTTCAGGCCCAAATCAGTGCAAATGTCTTGTCTTTCTATTTCTAAAGTCTCTTGGGGTTTTGTGCAAACCTCTTAGATCATGTAGGAGGACACGGCATTAGCATTTGGTGTCTGTGGAGCTTGGTGGATTGTCTCTCCTCCAGGGCATTGTACTCCCCTAGTCCATGAGAATCACCTGCCTTTAGCTCCTAAGACAGAGATGTGAAGATGCTGAGCAGAACTGTCTTCCCAGCAGAGGAAGGGAAGGGAATCACTGAGGAGTTTTTAGCCTTTCTTCTCTGGAGCCATATGGTGCGGAGATGGGGAGGGAAGAGGTGTGGCTAGCAGTCTCCTCTCAGTGCAGGGTCAAGGAGCTCACAAAGTCTCTGCTGGTAGATACAGTGTAAGTTCTGCAGAGATTAGAGGAGCTGCATGTCTCTTTGGCATATCCCAGCCATGTTCTTCACAGTGCATTTCACTGCAGAAAATAAGTTCCTACGGAGGGCAGTTGTCCCAGCTGCCTCTGCAGGAAAGCTTGTAATTCATTAATTGCTTTCCACCTTGATGTTAGTATCACTTGTCCTGGTGAGGACGCTGTGCAATAGCCCCATCAGAGGTATTGCCATTTCTCCAGCATGGCAGAAAACCTCTGTCTCTGCCCTAAACAGTTCATGTACCTGCTTCACAGGTAAGAGCCCATCTGAAAATGGGGCTCTGACCAGACTGCTGCAATAGATAGCCATAAAAATGCCAGGGACCAGACTGTCACCGTGTAATTCCCTAGAGATTTCTGACAGGAGATAGGAAGAACATACAATTCGTTGCTGTGGTGAATGTGGGAGAAATTTTTGCCTTTGGAGCAGGAGTTTTTTAGCTATTGTCCTGTTTGTTTATTGAGTCTTCAGCATGTGCTTGATGTGGGATGGCAGGGAGGGCAGGTCTCTGCTGGGAGAAGGCAAAGTAGGAGCAGCCCTCCTGGTTTGCAGAAGGAGTGCGTGGAAGGAGGAAGAGCTGCTCAGGGAAGTGGGGGCAAACAGGAGGCCTCAGGTCAGTGTATCCCTGCAGTTCCTGCACCCCTTGCTGTGGTCCTTTCCTCTGCACCGTGACAGCAAGGCAGGCATTAGCACTGTGTACACTGCTCCTGCCTGTGGCTGGAGACAGAGGCAGAGTTCCTCACGTCCACTGGGAGCAGCCTGCAAGCTTATGGGGGTCTGCAAAGGGACCAGAGGGAAAACAAGCCCCGCTGAAGGATGGTCATAGGGGAGACACTCCTCCACAGGCAGCAAGGAACACCAGGGCTGTGCTTGGGGTGGGTCTGCTGTGTCCCAGGATGTGCTGTGAGCTGGAAGCACTGGGGAGAGACAAGGCAGGAGGTGCCAGGCTGTGCTGGGATGCAGTGGATCAGGGATCCCAGTCAGTCCTGTGTGTGCATCCAGTGTGGAGTGTGTTGTGCACAGCGTGTCACGCTTCAGGTGTGTCCTTCAGGATAGTGTGGCCTCACCAGGGGATGGAAGCATGCACATGTAGATCAGCCCAGCACAGTCCCTTAGGACATGCCTGATGATCATTTGGTGGAGCTAGCCTGCCTTTTCCAGGATTGGAAGCTCTTCTAATTCTGCTGTGGTCCTGATTTGGTTGGGAACATCCCTCTTGGGTCTGGTACAGGAAGGGGAATGAAAGGAACATCCTCTTGCCAGAGAGAGGAGGGAGGGAGAAGGGGAAGCTGATGGCCTTTCTGACTGCACTGAGTGCACTGTGGGATGCTGAACTGCGGTGCTACTGCATGTAATGATTGTGCTTCACTGGTTGAGCTCTCAGCACCTGTGAGAGGGGAGGGTCCCCTTTGGGGTAAGAAATCTCACTGAACCCAGAGCATTGGGCCATGGTGCTTTGTGGTGCTGCTTGGGCAGGGGCAGGTCAAGGGCAGGCACCTGGGGCCATGGCTTTGTCCTGTCTTGGGAGCAAGGGATGTGGAGTTGGTGACCCTACCAGGAGAAACAGCTCCTAGTGTAGTGCTCTGCTCTTCCAGAGCTGTCAACAGGTGGAAACTGCATCTGAGGCCACACTGCCAGCTCATGATGTGTGTAACCAGTCCAGACTTGAGGACTGACTGGGATCCCTGATCCACTGCATCCCACTTGAGTCCCCATGTCACTGGCCACTAGCTCATCCTCTTTCTCCTGCCCTGGAGAGGCACATTCCCTTTGGCCTGATGATGCTGGGCTGATGATGACTGTCCCCCTGCTTGTCCTTACACTCTGTCTCCCTTCTCTCCCCAAAGGTGGTGGCACAGACAGCAAGCCTGTGGTACGCTACAGCAAGGACCAGCGCCCCACGACCCTGCCCATCCAGCCCTTTGTTTTCCAGCACCATTTCAGCAAGCCACCCAAGGCTCGTGCCTTGCACAGCCATTTTGCCTCCAGCCTTTCCCAACTCTACAGCTTGTCCAGCAACCGGCCTGCCAGCCAGCAGATCTCTTCGAATTCCCAGTCCTCGGCCTCGGCCACCTCAGCGGAGCAGCCGGCGGGGCTGGGGAGCCAGGCCCAGGGCGCGCTGCTGACCCAGCGCGCGACGGATGGAGCTGCCTCCCGCAGCAGTGACGGCTGCAGTAAGAAGCCTGCGCCCGAGACAACCCGCCCGTCCCCCCTGGGGAGTTACTCTCCCGTGCGGTGCAACGTGCCTTTCTTCCAAAGCGTGGACTCCTCTTCCTCATCCACCGCGGAAAGAGCCGGAGAGAGCCAGCCCCCCAGGAGCAGGTCCTGCCCCATCTCTGCCAACCTGCTCCCCACGAGGTCTTCCCCTGCTCTCAGTGCCATGCAGCCCTCCCAGGCCACCAAAGCTGATGCCCGGAGGCAAAAGGAGAACCCCAAGCCGGTTCCCAAGAAGGAGGCACCATTGGAGCCAAGCCCGCCGCTCTCTGAGTACCGACTCCACAGTGGATCCCTCCCACCCCTCTCGATGGGCAGCGTGCCTGTGAGCAGAGTGGGAGGCTACACAGATCCCCACTGGAGAAGTGGCAGTGAGACCAGCAGCTCTGGTCCCCTGAGCAGCATGGGAACACGGCCTCTTAATGGTAGGTACCCACCCACCAGGGCACTCTACTCTGGAACATCTCCAGCTCCCTATGACTGGCTGCTCCCTGTACTACCACCCTTTCTCATAGCCCAGGGCAAAATTGCATCTAGACTGCAGTGCCCCACAGCCACTACCATCAGTTTGCCTAGAAAAAGTCCTACACTAAGAGCATGTCCCTCCAGTCCCAACTCCAACACTGTGTCTCCAGACAGAGCAGCATGAGCTGCTGATCTTACAGCACTCTATGCTAGGTGCTTGCACCTAAAACCTGCTCCCTCTATGCCCACAGTCACAAGGCCACCCAGGCTCCTGCCCTGCCCTTCCAAGCTGTGGCCTCCAGCTCCCTTCATGTTTGCATGCTAACGTCCTGAAACACTGCTGGACTTCTAACCAGTGTGCTGTCTCTCTTCTTCTGTCCTTCCTCTTTCTCGTCCTCTCTCACCCTGCTTCCCCTCCATGTTCTCCTGTCTGCCTGTGTCCTCCTGCCTGGTGCTCACTGCCTGCGGCATCCCAGCGAACCACCTCTCCCCCCAAGCACTGAAGTGGCGGGAGTACAGGCGGAGGAACCCCCTGGGTCTGGACCGCGTTTCTGGGCTGCCCGGCTTAGCAGGCAACCTAGACCGGAGGCAGCAGGAGCCTCGGCTGAACCGGAGCAACCCCATCCTGGAGCTCCCTGGCGCTCTCAACAGCAGCCATTTCCACTGCAAGCTGAACGGTGCGCATCACCCGTCTGCTGGGGGGTCTTGGGAGGTGACCCTGGGGCTGGGGTTCAGCCTGGCTTCATCACTGCTCTGCCTGCTCCGGCCAGGAGGGACGGTGCGTCCGCTCACGGTGAGGCTAAGGGGCCATGAGAGGAGGGTGAAAAGTGCCACACTGGTGGGTGCAACCTGTGTGGAGCCTCAACTGAGAGCAGTCAGGTCGGTCGCTGGGCTGGGTTGAAGGGCAAAGTGAATGGCCCAAGAGCCTGCTCAGGCCTCAGCAGGTGCTGCTGGACTCCATGCTGGTAG